TTAAGAAACGCACCATTTTGGATAGTCGAGTTCTCCTCTTGGCATTCTTCTTTACTAGTAAATGTTGCTTTCCAGCTCTCCTCCGAACTATTTTCCCTCTACCTGTCACCCTGAACCGCTTCGCCGAAGCCTATCAACACTTATTCAACATATAGTTAGATGATAAAACCAATAGGAGCTTATTTGAAGGCTAAAAATTAAATAACAGTAAATAAATGAAAAAGATTAGAACTGTCAAGTGTGTTCAATGGTCTACAATTGGATTTGATTGGGAATTCAAACTTCAAGCTTGTTTTTTTTTCCACAAAGTTCAAGCTTTCACTTAGGATTTTATTTTGTCAACTTAGAGTACATGATGTTAATTGCCATCACTCCATCATCTTGTTCAACTCCATCAAGCCTTAATCAACTCTACCAACCTCCATCAGTCTCCATTGCACTGTAATTTTGTTACTTGATTATGATTTATATTGTCTTTCATAAGTGTAATATATGCCTGTGCAACTCAATGAAAATATCAAACTATCATATTCCAATTACATCTCAAACAAATTAAAATTCAAAACTATTCCTTGTATGACCAATTTGGACCATTACCACATACTATTTCCCATTCTTTCTTTTCCAAAATTTTCTCAGTAACCAAACGGAAATAAACAAAACCCATGACGAAATACCTTGTGGGTCTTCATTTTGTAGCCTTTAGCAGAGACGATGGTGAGAGAGCGAGGCCTAAGAGGGCTTGAAGCAATAGTGCAGAGCCTGTGAGGAAGAAGCGAGGCCAACCCAGAAATGCTATGCGAGGAACTGAGTCTCAACGAGTTGGGCCTATTGAATTGAGCGAGTTGAACTGAGCCGCGAGAGAGCTGAGCCATGAAAGAGCATGATGGGGAATATCTCAGACCAAACGGAACCGCCGTGGCCATGGCTGCACAGGCCATTGTTAGTTTCTCTTCTTCTTCCGCTGAAAACTCACTCACTCAGAACAAGTTGTGGATAAAGTTTGAGCGCTTAATTGGAGTCCTCATATCCTTTTGCGTTGTTTACAATTACAGGCGAGGAAGGCGTGTGTCCATAGAGGGTGATGCGAACACAGCACATTTAATTGTTCGGCCCAGAAACAGTTAGGAGCCCAAGCCCAATTTGTGTTCTTGCTCCGGTACCACACTCATGCCCAGTGATGTAGAAGAGTTTGGAATTAGACTCAAATATTGCAGAAATTATTGTATGGTTTTGGAATATGGATCAAAAGGCGATAGTCAATTAAAGTAAGGTTGAAAAACTTAATGGTCGTCAAGACAGAGAATGAAGGCTAAACAGCATATTGAAAGAACTTTCTAAATGCTCTTATACAGCAAGTTTATTGATTTTATTTTTTTTCCGTCATTCACTAGGGAGGGGAAGGGAGAGGGAGAGGGAGGGAGAGGAAGAGGGGGAGTATTATATTCGGTTGCCTCAAGATTATCTCATACATGAATCAAATCCAGGTGCACTTGGGAATCCAAGATTCCGAATGTCATGTGATTTTGAAAACAATAATCAAATACAAGGATGATTTAATTGTTTGAAATGGTGAAATAACACCCTTTTTTTTTCTTGGTGAATGATAGAAAATACTTTAATCAATGTGAAAGGATGATTTAATTGTTGGCAGCCCCTCTTTTATCATTTGTGTATGCGGTTCAATGCTCGATGTTTTACAACAGATGCTGCTTAGAATGATTTTGTAGCCCTTAGTCCTACAATCTGGTTCATGCATGTTAAAGCATCAAACCTTATCAGGAAATGGGTCCGTACATCATTTTCGGGCATGAATTACAACTTCAGCACCAAGTGGTTTGGCGCCGTTCTATTTCTCAATTAACAGCTTCAGGAAATAGGTGAGTTTCAATTCGAAATTGAGCTCTGAACAAGATGGCTATGAATTGTCATGACCTTGTCAAGATGGCTATGAATTATCATGACCTTGTCAAGATGGCTATGGATTCCCACTCCAAACTACATATCACATCCTGTGCAACAAAATGTGGGGGCTGTTAAACAACAGGACTTTATGCTTCTTCAGGCATTCTTTTATACGATTAAACACATTAAAAAGTCACAGAAATCAGAAACATTTCATTTTGACTTTCACAGAGCACAAACTACAAATTGGTAGAATTTCTACTTACAGAAGGATATTGCCGGTCTATGTCAAAGCTGTTGATTGCACAAGGTTCAGCTAAGAGCTCAATGGGTTCTTCACCTAAACAGATTTGGACAATTTGAGATTCTTAATAAAGCATTTAAGTTTCAAGGATATTTTGTTTTACATATGCTCAGCCAATTAGCAAAAGAAACAGGCTACCAACCATGACAGTTGGCCATCGAAGAATTAGCAGAAAGGATCTTACCCTGTTCAACAACAGCAAGGATACCGTCTTCTGAACAGATCATAGTAGGTAAGATACGTGAAGAGACATTTCCCACATTTGAAGACTTTGCATAGTGGTCAAAGTGAACCTCCCAAACCTCACTTTCGCATGGTGAATGGGTTGTTTCACCTGCCCCAACACCAGAAAGAAGAATTGGTTGTTGTGGCCACCTAAGATCCCAGGCAAATACAGTACCTAAGGAGCCTCCTGCCTATAAGTACCAGAAATTTGTAAGAACAACATCAGATTCTTCTTTTTGAGTCTGTGACAACATAAGATTCAAGAAAACTAAAATCTGATCAATCAAGTGAGATATCTAACTCGTATATACTTAAAAGTCAAAATGGCAATATATTTTTTTATTTTACTTCACATTAGCATTACCGCATCTCCCGCAGCTTACAACATGCATAATGGAATAATATGTCAATACAATACTTAAAAAGTTGAAACAGGCTACTTGGCAAGGACTTTTAAGATGCTGAGAAATGCATAAGAAACAAAACAAAACAAAACAAAACAAAAACAAGACTAAGGAAGGGAGAGAGGACTAAGACGACAAGAAAACCAAATTCATGATTCAAGGTAAAGCTAAATTCAAATATTTCACAAACTGAAAGAAAAGAAAAGAAAATGGAATTTAACAATAAAACTGATGCTCTTATCTCTTTTATCAATTTCAAAACGACACACATAACAAATAGGTGAGTTGCAAAGATCACCAGTTAAATGCAAATCAAAGTATGGAATTTTTTACATATCAGCATTACCAGACAAGTGTGCTTTCGTGAAGGATGAATATCAATGGAATGTACGATCCCAGGAGTTGTTCTTTGAGACCTACAACATTTCCACCAAAAGCTCTGAAGATGAAATCACCAATATGCTGTGGAAATTCTTTTAAAGTTTAAGCAGTAATGAAAAAAAAAGCAAACAAATGGAAAGAGACAAATGATAAGCTCAAGGTCATTGAAAAGTTTCTGATTGTGCAATGCCTGCAAACGAAAAGCACGAATCAGACTCTAACACAAATGAAATATACGTTAGATTTAAACTCAGGATACCCACGTATCTCTGCAATTCATTGCTCGGATGTTATCGCCTCTGCCCCCACACGGGGCCTCACCCCTCCTACCTTTGCCTAGAAGATCACTCACATCCCATGGATTAGACTCTAACCAATCAACCTTTTAGTAGATCATGAGTGGGTCTGCCCGTCCTCCTAAAATCAATAGCATTTCGTTGGAATACATCCTGTCTCTACACCTTCCTAAAAGTAATATATTTCCTTACGGATGTATCGTGTCAATAGTTTGCAAATTTATTGTAGTTAATCCAAGTTTATTTATACCTAATATGAGCTAGGCATGTAATACATTTAAGCACATATGTATCTAGTTATGTATCCAAATACAAATTCCAGCTTCACAAGAAGCGTGTTCACGCCCTAAGAATGCACACTTCTTGAGCCTCTAACATCCTGCATTTCTAAGCTACCGAGTCTACATTTCTGGCATGTTAACGTCATTTACATCTTTTATTAGAGTTTTATTAAATTGCATGCAGTTCCAGCTCATAAATGAAAATTAATCATTCTGAAGAAGTCCTCTAACTAACAAATTCAAAATCAAACTATATTACATCCACCAAAGAATTTCTCTGAGCTATTTACTGATTTCATTAAGCAACAGTAAATTCTTAAACAATATGGAGATCAGTTATAACTCAGTTTATAGCAAGGAAATTGCAATATAGCATAATCACTGTAGCAAATAAGACAAAGATCAATGAAAGTTTATCATAAATTGAAGAATAAATTCAAACTTGAAAAGCAAAACAAATTCATATAAATGCTCACCAGCTACCCTTAAACTGAGACACCGCCGCACCAGGCTTTCTCTGATCCCACCACTGGAGACTAAATCCATATCCTCCAGTGGCAAACTCACTCGGGGAGGCCCATTTCGCCGTTGTAAACGAAACCAACCCGCTGCTATCGAAAATCCGTTGGTAGCTCAACTCAGACTCCCCAACAGACACCAAATTCACCCTCCCATCTTCCCCTACACTCACACACTCCACCCCACCATCCATTATATCCACACAAGAAATGGGTCCCTCATGCAATGCCTTTTCGGGCATCGAAAGCTCCGATTCGAGAGATGCCGGGTCCATCGAATCCCCAAACAAGATGTGAATGGAGCCCGCCAATGTTGCGGCGGCTACTAGGGGTTTGTGGTGGGATTGAGAGGTTTTGAGGGAGGAAATTCGTGAGGGCGAGAACCATTGAGATTGTTGAGTTAGATTTTCTGGGTCTGGAGCAAAAGAGTGGGTTTCTATGGCGGCAGAGTCGGAATCTGAGTCGAAAACAGCGATGACGGCCAAGCGGTCTAAGGCTGAGAGAGGAGGCAACCAGCGGACAGAGTCTATGTACTTGGATTGTCGGAGTCTGTGGATTTGGGGAGGTTCGGAGAGTGCCGTGATCGCCATTGTTTAGGGTTTAGGGTTTTACAGTGTTCTGCTCTCTCACTGGCTTGCTTGCTTTTGTTTCAATCAAAACTTTGAGGAAACTTTGAGGAAGAGGTTTTGGGGAAGGTGGGGATACGTTAGTAAAAAATGGGAATTTGCTCGGGTAAGTGTAGTAATATTGTGCATTGACTAATTTGCCCTCGTGATGGTCTAAGACTAAGACTGACATATGGAGAAGAAATGGAAGAGAAGGATGAGGGGAAAATGTTTGCCTCAGAAAAGAGCCTTATCTTTAACAAGCTCTCCCCTTATCTGTTTGTGAAGAAAAATGGCAGAGATTTTGGAACCATATCAGCTAAGAGGAGAGATTTACCTGAAGACCCTTCAACCCAGGAACAATTCATCTTCTCATTGAGGGTCAAAATTTCAAACCCAATTGTTGCTGGGTCTGTGGTTGCAGTGTTGGGATTAGGGTTCATTGATGCGGGGTAAGCTTTTTTTTGTTTTTTTGGGGGTCACTTCTCTTTCTGTTGCCATTTGATTTTGATCAGTTTAATGTGGAAAAATAATGAATTTTCAGGTACAGTGGAGACTGGTCAAGGATTGGAGTGATCTCAAAAGAGAGTGAGGACTTGCTAAAGGTTGCTGCCTTTGTAGTTGTTCCCTTGTGTGTTTTTCTCATAATTTCTTTTTTCAAAGAACAAGAAGATTGAATCTTGAGTTGGGCTATTTTATTGTATTTTGAATGTGATAATGATCAAATGAGGTCTGAATTGTAGAGTCTTTCATTCTTTAGTAATATTTTTTGGGTGGAAAGAAGAAGGTGAAGTTGTTGGGAAATTTTGAGAACTATTTTTACCCTACTTTGGATGAGGAAATTTAAAAATAACAAGGTATTCCAAAATGACGAAATTCAATCTCCAAAATGATTAAAACATGATGGATTTAAACATGCAGCTTAATATTTATTTCTTTAAGCATCAATCTATAAATGTGTGATGCTGTTGGTGGAACTGCTATTAGTAAGGTGATGGTGGCGGGGAAGATGTTGGTGATAGTCATGGCAAGGTGGTTTTAGTAGAGTTGGTAGTGGTGATGTTCTTTTCCTTAAAACTATCACTATTTTTTAATTTTTAAAATCACAACTATTTAGATAAAATTTAAAATTAGAATTTATAACTTTCAAATTATTTATAATAAAAAAATTCAAGTGAAAATTTTAAATTTCTTTGTTTATGAATTTAAACAAGGGAATTGATGCATGTGAATTTACAAATTTTGACTTTCATTCAACTTCTGAAGCATAGTTCGTTAAAATCTCTTTCCATTACAACTTTTCTCTTCCATGAAAATCGATAGGCTTAGAGAGAGCGAAGGAGAAATATGGAGAAAATAGAGAAGGAGAAATATGGAGAAAACAGAGAGGGAGAAAAAGAGATCTATAGTTGGCAGAAGGTGGCTGCCAAGGGTGCACCACACCTCAAAAATTTAGTGGCCCAATGGAAAAAAAAGTCTTGACTTGTAGACTAATGGTCTCAAGTTTGAACCTCCATGACACCTTGATAATGTGTGTGTGAGAAACCTTTCTCCTCTTGTAGTTTAGACTATCGCTTGTATTCAAAAAATTAGTTATTGGTTATTTTGAAAAAAATTATCATTGTCGTTAAAAAGCAAGAGTGCAAAACATTTAAAACTAGTCATTTTTTACCGTTAGTATTAAACAAATAATATTTAATGAGGTTCCAATGGCAATCATTGGATCAACATCGGTAATGTTGGCAGTGGTTGGATGAGGCGATACAGGCTTGCAAAAAAACATGTGTGGGGCTTGCATCGGTTTCATAGGCTGCAACTAGGGCTGGGTAATCCTTGGAACATGCTTTCAATCCTATTCAAATGTTCCACCAAAGTTGTTGAAGCTTGAATTGCTCTTGAAACCTCCACCTTGAAATGGCTTACCAAGTTACTAAAGAAAGTGACATTTAAGTCTCGTCACCAACAAGGTGTTTAGAACAAGATGGTGCGTTTTAGTGAGAAGATGGTGCTAGCAATCTCTCACCAAATGGACTAGATTTTTCTAAGAAAGATGGGAGAGCGAGGAACAAAGCCTAAACTCTCAACCTATCATCCAATTGCACAAAAACCTAAAGAGGTAAAGAGGCATAAGCTTCTTTAAATAGGAAACTCAAAAACAAGGGAGAGGGTGAGGCCTCTCCCTCCCATGCCATCCACCCTAGCATAGTGGGCCTCTTGGGCCTAAGTCACTTTAACTTATGTTATGAGCCCAATAGGCTTAGAATTCAAAATTCCATTTTAAGGCCCATTGTGACATCTCTTGTTCGTTAAATTAATTCCTTAAATAATTTTGACTTACCTATAATTAACTAAGCTTAATTAGTTTCCTTAATTCATCCTTAGAATTTCCCAAAAATCAAGTTTAATAGTGTGTGATCCATTAGGTTATAATTAGCACAACAACTCCTTTTTAATAAGGATCATTATGATTTATCCTTAGGGTTTCTACAAGCCTTGAGTGACTATGTCAAGGCTACCCAAGTTAAGTATAATAAGTAGAAAACTTATTCAATTGGAATTACAATGCAATCCGGTTCTTCTCTATTTCAATACTCTTAATCTCATTACAAGGGCATGGATAATTCATGTGAAGCCCCTAATGAGATTATCTTGTTTCCATATGATTTGTATTAGTATACTCAAACATATTTTCTAACTACTCTAATAAGAGATTTGCTTAATCATATCTTCCAAGCAATATGAAGGGAACACTTGGTCTAGGCAATTTCTAAAATCACATATAGGATAACAAGTTATCTAGCATGCATTTCAACTAAATACATATAAGCGGAAACATAATTTAAATTAGAAACTCATACAAATCATATTTAACCAAAGCATCTTTCTAGGCTTATGAAATGTTGCACCAAAGACTCTCTAAATCAACTATAAAGAGAGGGATTAGAGATGTAGTTACCCTTGGAGCAAATCTTGAACCCTAAGAAGGTGTTCAAGTATAGTACTTTTCTTCTTGCTTGATCCTCCACTATGGCTCTCCAATAGGTACAAAGGGATATACCTCACCAAAGCTCTTCACCAAGAAGGATGGAGATGAGAGAAAGGAAACTTGGGAGAGCACAAGAGTGATAGCCCTTGCGCTCCAAGTTGGTTGGTAGTGATTGAGAGAGAGGAGTGATGTTTTCTCTCCTCCAAATTCCCCACTTGAAAATCCTAAAATAAAATTGTGTTACGACATCAAATATATATAGACCCATATTGTGACACAAGTGGAGCTAAATCCACATGTGTGCCGCACTGTCCCCTTGGTAGTCTAATTTTGGGCCTTGTAGGTCCAATACATTTAACCTTTAATGTGTCACACAAGTCTAAAGTCATATGAGTCCTTTCTTAATTGTTTGAGTCATGTGGGACCTAACTAAGTTCTATAACTTTAATTGTTTAATTAAACTATTCTAATTAATTTAATGAGCTAATGACTTAAGTCATTAACTTGTTTTACAAGTATTGGTCCGAGTTAATTCTTGTTGACTATGTCAAGTGTCAAGTCAACAATTGACCTTTGACTTTGACTTTGGCCAAGGCGTAAAATCTTCCTCTCTTTTATTTCTCAATCCATTCTTTTGTCGTGTGCAATCTTTTAGGTTCTAACTAGTGAGGTATTGGGTAACTCTATTCCTCCTGAACCGAGCATGAATTGAATCCCATCATTCAATTCTCCTTATTGAAGAAAGCTAATTGTAATTAACCTTATAAGGCTTCCACAAGCCATGAGTGACACCTACCAGTATGTCATGGCTACTCAATCTAAATATAATTCATTGGAGAACCTATTTAGTTGTAATTGCAATGCAATCAGGTATTTCTCTAACAATACTCTATGTCACATTATTGGAATACAGTTAATTGTGTCAAATCCATAATGCGACATTACTAGGTTATATGATTCATATGGTTGAGATCAGGCACGGACCTTAGTGTAGCTTCACCTGGGCTACAGCCCGGGGGGCTTTAATTTTTTTACAGTCCAAAGTAAATTTTAGCCCGCCTACTCTTTAAAAAAATACCCACATGTCTTGGGCTAGGGCATAAATAGATAGGTTAAAGGAATAAAAAAATAACAAATGTTTGCCCTGGGCTTGGGCAGGCCGACACGCATGGGTAGTATAAAAATAAACAATACTATATATAATTGTTTGTTGGTAAAGAATACTTATATAATTTTATTATAACAGAGAACTAATGTTTTCGGTCAAAGCGAGAAATAGAGCTGATGAGAGAAAGTGTCTGTTTTTAATACTTTTTTTTTGTTTGTGTTGTATTTAGGCTTGTTTTTCTTTTTCATTTTTTGAAAAAAGGACGTTGCCTCTTCACAACAAATTTTTTTTAGTATTTAACATGTAAATTTTGCTTAGTTTAACATAAAATAAAATTAACTTATACCATTGAGTTGAACATAAATTTTTTTAATACCGTCGAGTTTAACATGTAAATTTTACTTACTCAACTTTCGACTCCAAGAGCCGTCATTGGTTTTGCTACTCCTGCAGACTCTGCTCCTCCTTCCTTGAAGATTTAGCCCGCCCTAATTTGAAATCCTATGTCCGTCCCTGGTTGAGATTGCAAACTTACTTTCACAAATCTATCTGCTACTTTGGCCAAAGATTTCACGAATTATATCTCTAGAGTATTCTACCTCTTTACTGAGAGTAAAGATTCATTGTTGTACATTCACATGCCTTTGTGAGCTTATCAAATATTTCAATGATCACCTTTGAGCCATATCTTTCAATACGACCGTATAGTATTCTCAAAGATAAACGACTCGTCCATAGGACAACTGTGATGTTTCAGGTCTAAGGACTAATTTGCATTATCGCAACTTAGAATTACTTATTTGACACTTGTGAATAAAACTACCATACAAGAATTCTTAGTCGATCGTGTTCAGTGAACTCTATCTCTATTAAGCACCTATAGACTTGTCTCAGTGTCTCTATATGAATGACTTGAGAGTAGTCATCCTGCCAATTGAGTAGACACAATGTGTGCTAGTCCTTATGGATCACCATTGTCCAATTAGTGATCCTATGACTATGAATAGTTTAGGATGAGATACGTCATAATGGAAAGGTCTCGTGAATGGAACATCTTTAGAGAGAATTTGGAGGTCATAAATTGAAGCTTTAAATTCTATCTAAATAGTTGTAATGTTTAAATCCCAAAAGAGAGAATTTTTAAAAAGAAAAACAACCATGTATGATGACACCACCAGCATATCTACTACCACCACATTGCCCTGGAAATGACACCACCATCATCCCTGTCGTTGCCACCATCTCCACCACCAACACTACCACCTTACCATGGTTATTTTCCCCACCCTCACTATCACTACATCCACCACCACCATCACCATCACCATCACCATCACCATCACTATCACTATCACCATCACCACATCACCGTAATTACCACCCTCACCACCTTCACCATCATCTTGATATGGGCCATCACCACCATCGCCGCCTCCACCACTTCGCCACCACCACCACCTCTATTATCACCACTTTTATGTGGCCATCAACACCATCACCGCCACAGCTACCATGTCGCCACCACCACCTGTACTACCACCATTTTTCCATGGCCATCACCACCACCACCATTTCCTCCCCCACCCTACTACCATTTGTACTATAACTGACAACCCCACCTCGCCACCACCCTACTATTAGCAACCCACCAAAATTTCACATATGATGGCACCACCACTGTGACTAGGCACGGACACCTGGGCTATAGCC